CTAACAATGATCGCATGAAGTGATACCTAATCTAAATATGCTTGGTTCTGAATTGAAATATTGGATTCTTGGTAAGAAATATGATGCTATGACTATCACTGTGTAGAGAGCCTTTTTTATTCTTGTTACCCAATTTTTTCAAGAAGTCTTGTAGTCATACCATCTCTTTTGCAGCCTGTGAAACTGCTATATACTCAACTTTTGTAGTAGAGAAAAAAACTGTTTTCTGTAAATTAGAGCCCCATGACACTGTAGTGCCCCCATAAGTAAAAATAAAACTTGTGGTACTACTATCAATGTCTCCAGCTAAATCAACATCAACATAGCCTTGTACCTCTAAACTCTCTTCTGAGAAACACAAGCAGGTTTCTAAAGAGCCCTTTAGGTACATCAAAATCCACTTTACTGCTTCCCAATGTACTTTTCTTGGGTTACTCATATATCTACACACAACTCCCACTGGATGGGCAATATCTGGTCTTATGCAAACCATAACATACACAAGAAAACCAATAACTAGGGCGTAAGGAACCTCACTCATGTAGTCTTGTTCCTCCTCTGACTTGGGTTACTGATTCTTGCTGAGTCGGAAGGGATTGCCCAAAGGTGTGCTAACTAGTTTGACATTGTCCATATTGAACCTGCTGAGTACCTTTTCCATGTACCCAGCCTATGAGAGTCTTAACGTGCCTCTGATTTTATCTCTGACAATCCTCATGCCAAGGATTTGTTTTGCAGCACTCAAATCCTTTATTGCAAAGTGCTCTGAGATCTGTTTCTTCATATTATTGTTCTCGTTAATACTGACACATGCAATAAGCATGCCATCCACATACAACAGTAAAATAATGTAAGAATTGTCAAAATGTCTGACATAGCAACATTAATTTGTCTGACATTTGATATACTCAGTATTGTGCATGAAATTATCAAATTTCTAATAACACTATCTAGGAACTTGCTTCAGGCCTTACAAGCTCTTTTTCAGTTTAAAAATTGAATCTTCCTCTTTGTACTACAAACCTCTTAGGCTGGTCCATGTAGATGTCTTCTTCAAGGGCTCCACAAAGAAATGTTGTCTTCACATCTAATTGCTCAAGAAATAAATCTTTCGTAGCAACCATAGACAGTAACATCTCGATGGTTGTGATCTTCACCACAGAAGAAAAGATCTCAGAGTAATCAATACCATGCTTCTGTTGAAAGCCTTTTATAACAAGTCTGACATTGTGCCTCTTACTATCATCATGTTCAATTTTCACCGGGTACGCTCACTTGTTGTGTATGTCTTATTCTCTGGGGAAAGTTTTGTCAGCTCTCATGTCTGATTTCCTAGTAAGGAAGCCATCACATCATTCATGGTCAGCTTCCACTTGCTAAAAAATTCATATTGTAAGGTTTCTTCATAACTCTGTAGTTCTTCATCTATTAACAAAATGTAGTTCATGGTTGGTGAGAAATGCTATAGAGAACGTCTAATCCTAACTGACATGCGAACTGCATCTGTAGTAGTGGACGACTCTGAAACTGACTGTAGAATAATAGGAATAGGTGTATTGGACTCACTCTCCTCGTTACTCATATCTCTACACTACACTACAACCTCTGGTGATCATCCAACCTCAGGCGTGTAAACGAGCTGAACACGGCAAGCCCAGGCTCAGCTTGTGTTTGGCTCGTTTACATTTCGAGCTCAAAAAGTATGTTTGTGTTTGCTCAGTTGCTTAACAAGTCGAACACGAATTGTTCACGAATAAAGAGTTGTTTTGACAACCCTAATCACGTAACCATAAGATGTTAAGGGTTGGGGGATGATTTAAAAATTATTGTTTATATTAAAACATCATTTGAATATATTTTAATATTTTCTATTCTTTTTTCTTAACTAATACTTTTAATTGATTATAAATCTTTGCAGCCTCGTAGTCAATTAAATTTTTTAAAAATGCCAGTCATCAATATATAATATATATATATATAATTGATGAGTAATATTTCAAGCCAAAACGAGCCGAATAGGAACGAACAAATCTTTGTCCGTGTTCGACTCATTAACTTAGCGAACGAGCTTCTTAACGAATCGAACACAAGCTGTTCGCGAACTACGAGCCGTTTTGACAACCCTTACAAACTCAAATTCTTGAGGAGCTACTTAAGAAATTATACTAGCCTTTTCCTTGTACACAATCTTTTCATTAAATGCTTCTTATGATCTTCCGACCTTGATCATTCGACAAACGATAACCAAATTCCTCGTCTCCATAGCCAATGAAATAACATTTCTTTGACATAGCCTCAAGTTTACTACGAGGATCAGGATTAATAAGAACACAAGAAAGACAGCCAAATGTTTTAAGGTGAGAAAATTTGACATCTTTCCCGCTCCAGACCTCCTCAGGCAATTCATAATCTAGTGGAATGGATGGTCCCCTGTTGATCAAGTAAAAGATAGTGCAGACCACATCAGCCCGGAAAGTTGGTGGTAGTCCGCCGTGCAATCTCATGCTTCTAGCATGCTCATTAATGGTCCCCTTCATACGCTCCACAACTCCATTTTGTTGTGGTGTCCCAGAATGATCTTCTCCATATGGATGCCCTGAGCTGCACAGTACTCCTCAAACCCACCATCAATGTACTCACCACCATTTTCAGATCTCAAACATTTCAGTTTTAAGTTTGTCTCTGTTTCAACCATGGTCTTTGAAATTTTGAACACATTACGTACATCAGATTTATGCTTTAAGAAATAAACTCATACATTTCTACTATGGTCATCAATGAATGTAACATAATAATGAGAACCTCCAAAAGATGCTAGTGGAGAAGGTCTCAACACATCTATATGTACAAGATCCAATTTTCCTGTCTTTGATGTTCTGTCATTTTTCAAGAAACTGATATTCTTCTGTTTCCTCATAATACAACTCTCACACATACTGAGATCAACTGACTTCAGTTTTGGTAGCTTTTCTCTGGACAGGAGTTCTTTCATATCCTTTTGAATCATATGACCAAGCCTGCAATGCCATAAATCTGTTGTGCTCTCTGCAATTGTATTATCAATAATGTTAATTAAACCGATCGTCATATATAGTATACCAATTTTCTTACACCAAGCCAGTATCAATGCCCCTTTTATGACCTTCCAAGTGCTATCTGAGAATATTACTGAATTGCCAAACTCATTGAGCTGTCCAACAAAAATGAGCTTTTTCTTCAACATAGGAATGTGTCTGACCTTTTGCAAGGTTCATTTGTTCTTTTTAGGGAGTGCACTATCAATGTCTCTCATCCCCACCATGTTCAAAGATTCTCCATCAGCCAGATACACCTTCCCAAAGTCACCAGCAAAATAATTTCGCATTAACTCCCAGTGGGAAGATGTATGAAGGAAGCTCCTGAATCCAGTATTCAATCATCAACTGGACTATAAATTGTAAACAGTAGTGCATCATATACTTCTTCAGTTACAACATTAGCACTATCATTCTTTGTCTTTTTAGGATTTTTGCAGTTCTTCTTTAGTGGTCAGCTTTGCCACAATTATAGTAAATTGCCTGCTGACCCTGCCTTGACTTGCTCTCGTCTCTGTACTTTGATTTTAATCTATCTTTGTATGAGTTATTGTCTAGTGATCTCCCTCGAAAATCAACATTCAGTGTTGAACTCGAACCTGAGATCTTGTCAGTCTTTTTGTGCGCCTCTTCAGTCAAAATCAAATCACGAATATCATCATATTTTAGCTTAGATTTACTGACAGAATTACTAACAACCATTCTCATGGCTTCCCAGCTATTTGGCAATGAAGCCAACAATATCAGTGCACGTATCTCATCATTAAATTGAATTTCAACAGATGATGATTGATTTGTGATAGTATTAAAATCATTCAAACGTTACGCAACAGACATACCATCTGCCATCTTTAAACTGAATAAGTTTTTCATCATATAACTTGTTATTTGCTGATGTTTTTCATACATACCTGACAAAGCTGTCATGAGATTCACAATCGTCATTTCCTTGATGACGTTATGTGCAACGGATCTCAATAGGGTTAATCGAATAATCCCCAGAACCTGCCGATCCAATAGATCCAATCAACCTCATCCATCTTTCATGTTGTTTTTCCAATAACCTAAGATGAAAATTATTCCCATAGAAATAGTCTTCTATCTGCATCCTCCAGTAATCAAAATCTGTGTCATCAAACTTCTTGATTCCTGATACATTCACTTCGTCTCTAGCCATCGTTTTCCTTATGACCTGAACCACGGCTCTAACACCCATTATTATGGAAACGATGACAACAAATAGAAAAATTAAAAAAAGAGAATCACACACGACACACAGATATACGTGGTTCGATAAATTGCCTACGTCCACGAGAGTTGCAGAAGAATTTTTTACTTGAAGAATTACACAGTCGATCGCTTCGTTTACAAGAACTCGTCTCGACTCCCCCCTCTCCATCCTCTCATTTTCACCGCCCACCACTTCTTGCAAGGATTCAATCCTTCTTGCTTTAAAAACAGGAAAGCGGGATCCTTAAGAGGAAGGCAGAGGCAAAGAGTTTTACTAAAGAAAATGAAATAAAAGAATTTAAAAAAATCAAATAATTGTCATAGGTGTAGAAACCGTCATAAGTGCAAAAACCGTCAATAAGTGCAAAACGGCCTAAATTCAAATAACTATCATTAGTGT